AAATCCAGAGGTCACACAAATAGCACAGTCCTCTCTGAGGAGAACCAGGGCAGGGAGGTCTCTGAGCCAGAGCAAGAAACACTTCTGCCTTTCAGCAAAGACAGAGCAAGGACACGGTGCCTGGGAAAAGGACACATAGCTCTTCCACCCTGTGTGACACTGCCAGAGGGGACGGAGGATACAGCTCCAGCTCCTTCTCCAGATATGGGGCTGGATTTGGCTGCTGGGCAGCTCTGGCTGAACTCACCCTGTCCCCACCGCAAAGCGAAAGGGATTTGCTGGAGCAAAGGCTGTGCAGAGTGAAGGCAGAGTTGTTCCCCCAGCCCACCCTGTGACTCTCCTGGGAGCACAGCAACACCTCCCAATCTGCCATGCAGATTTGTTATTGGCTTGGGTTGCACATGGATTGCTTCTTGCCAGCTCAGGTGAGTCAGCCTGAGCAGAGGCTGATGTGCCACCAGAGAAAACTGCAGGTGGGAGGGAGAGGAGTCAGCCAGAGACTGGGGTACATGAATTCCCATGGCTATAAAGGAAGCTTAGGACTTCTGGATGATCAAGGCTTCTCCATCACATCAACCAGCACTGGGACAAACTGCCCCATCACTATCCCAGCATCATCCTGGCCACAACCATCACCATGTTCATCCTGTCTGCAGACAGCGGCATCTTCAACTCCACATTTCCAGGGTAGAAAATAAAGGAAAGAGCAGGAAATGAGTATTTGTGGGGCATGGAAAATGCTCCTTCAAATGTGCCAGCCTCAAATTAGAGGGAAAATGCCATTATTTTTCAACAGTTAAACAATGTGGCTGCAATTAGACTTGCAAATAGAGCAGAGAGGGCAACAGGGCTTGGTCAACACAAAACCTGACTCTGCTTTGGCAACAGGGGTTGGACTAGATGATCTCCAGAGGTCCCTTCCAGCCCTAATTATTGTGGGAGTCTGTGAAACCCACAGACAGATGCATGTAAAGCTCTTCTGGCCCTGAATATGCAAGTAGCCAAGGACAGAAGGGAAAAAAAGCAGCGCTGGGGAATGACAGCTCATGCATACTCATCCTCTGGCTGGGATAAGCAACACTGCAGGGAGGGATGGTTAGTCTTGGCAGGAATGTCAGCATGGAAAAACCACAGGCTCTGCTTGACCCAAAGCCCCCAACCAACCTGTCACACAGGATGCAATGGAAGCAGCTGGAAGACAAGCGGGTGGGGGGGACAAACAAGGTAGGCAGCCCCTGAGCACCAGACACACCTCACAACTGGTTGTGATGAGGAGCTGAACTCCCACATTCTGGATTGCACTTGATAAGATCAGCACCTAGGGTAGGACCCACCTCTTGGCTGCTGCCTGACAGCCTGAGGGAGCTCAGTGGGTCATGGGGAGGGATGGTCCCCTACCAGTCCAACAGGCAGAGCAGTCTGTGTGAAAAGGGAAGCAAAGCATCCCTTTTCCAGGGCTTTTTGGGGTCAGTTTGGTCCTCTGTGCTTGCATAGGATTCTTCAGCTTGTGAAGCTAAACTCCTCTGATGTTTGCTTGCAGTACTGCAGGGGAGAAGCCCATGTAGAGTCCTGGAGCAGCACAGAGAGAACCTGTTAGATGTGTGTGTGTTTTTCTTTATGTTTCCACCAGGAGGATGTTGAAGTTAACACTTGTCACTGTAGAGCAGGGAAGGCCCAAGAGATGGTCCCATGCATGGGGAGAGCAAGGTACAGCCCTTAAAAGGAGCACACGCAGACAGAGCTCCAGGGGCTCCATTCTCAGCAGTCATTCCTCCTTTTTGCCACATTCCCTATGGCTCTACTACACACCTGGACTAAGCAACATGACCTACAACATCTAACCATGACTCTGAGCTGCAGGGAAAGGCAAATCCTTCTGTGCAACCACATTTGCATTGCTAGTACCATTCCATGCTTCACTTCTCTCCCTAGCTGCTGCTGTTATTCCTCTTCAGGTGACAAAAGTGTCTCTCGAGGTCCATCTCTCCAGCACAGAGACCCATGGGAGCCACTGTAGGCCATGAAGCTTGGCCAGAGCAGCTCCAGCTGCACAGCACAGGAGCCAAGTCCTTGGGGGGACGTGGGGAGGAGGGTGGGTTGGAGCACATGAGTGGGGAGAGGAGGCCAAGCTGTTGCCAACAACAGGCACCAGGTGGGATGTGTGGGATCTCAATGACTCTTTCCTTTCCAAACCAGCCTCACTGAAAACTATAAATTAATCTGCTCATTAAATATTCATGTGAGAGACCAGGGGAGCTCCAGCTGTGCAAGCAGAGGAGTGGCTATGGCTTCTTCCGGAGGTAGTTGGAAGGGATCCAGCCCTCCCAGCATGGTCCCCCAGCCAGGACCTTGCAAAACCACCAACCACTGCTGTTCTTCTCACGAACTTCAAACAAAGTCCCTTCCTTAAAGCTGTTGGTCTCCTCATCGCCTTCAAAATCTGCCACTGCCACGTAGAGAGCTTCCCTGGTGATGTCCATGCTGGAGATGGGGGTTGAGGACCTCTCCTTGGCTTCCCCTCTCTCCACTGGTTTGGATATGACCTTTGGGTTTATGCTGCTTTTCGCTTTGGCTTCATCTTGGATGGAGGCAGAGAGGAATGGTTTGGCTTTTGGAGGAACCAGCATAGGCCTCCCTGGCACCATGGATGACCTGATCTCAGGTGCTTCCCGTGCTGGAGCCCTCAGCTCCCCTGTGGGGTTGGAGCCAGGACCGCCTGTTTTCTTGGGGGGTGGTGGCCTGCGAGGTGGCACAACAGGGCGCTGTGGTGGGGTGTCCCTGGCACATGGAGGGTTTGCTGGGCCCAAGGGAGATTTGGGCAGCACTTCCTTTGTGGCATGGCTGTCCAGCTTGGGCAGGGGTTTGCTCTCTGTGCTTGGTCGCTCCAGGAACCTTCCAGAAACCTCTGCAGACACCATGACATTGCTGAAGCTTTCTCCAGCAGTGGTGTCCTGCTCAGAGGGTTTCTCAGGGCACTTTGCAGGTCTCAGCTTGCTCCTCAGGCTGCAAATGTCCAGTTTGTCATCAGCTGGAGGTGGGTCAGTCCGGGGGGATGCAGCAGGTTTTGGCCTGATCTGAGGTCTTGACTTCAAGAAGGGATTCTGGGTGATTGGCTCAGGTTTGTCCTCCACAGGCTCAGCTTTTGGCTTGGTTGGCTTGACAATGGGCCTCAGGTTTGGCTTTTTCACCTCCTTGGCTGACACCTTATGGCCACATTCCAGTCCCATTTCGTTCTTCAGCTGGAAGAGTTTAGCCTTCTCTGGTTTGAGCTCTGGCTTCTTGCTGTCCTTGGGGGCTGCTGACTGCTTGGGTGGAATCATTGGCAAAATCATGCCTGGAGGCTTGGGGGGAGGTCTTTGCCTCTCTAGTAATTCACCTTCTGATTTGATGATGGACTCCTTCCTGGGTGGCAGGCTGGGCTTCTCCTCCGTGTCACGCTCTGAGATCTCTTCATAGCCCCCAGCAAATGACAGGTCCCCACTCTCAGGAGCCTTCCAGTCTTTGGGCCACCTCCCAGTGCAGTCCATCCCGTTGGGAGGAGCCTCTGGAAGAGGTCGGCATGGACCCGTGGCCTCCTCACTGGCACTGCTGTCGGCCGCGGCGTCACTGAGCCGGAGCTGAGCCATCTCGGTGGGAAGGGGAGCCAGGAAGTTTGGTCTGGATGCATTGCTGGTTTTCTTGTACTTATCAATGAAGGTGGCAGGAGCCCAACCTTCCTTCTCCTCAATCTGGATGTACCACCAGCCACTCAGGTTCTTCTCAATAACCTGCCAAGGGGAAAGGAAAGCTCAGACATGGGGCTGCAACCAAAGCAGTGTGGGCAGCAGGGCCAAGGAGGTGATTCTCCCCTTTCTGCGCTGCTCTGGTGAGACCACACCTGGAGTCCTGCACACAGTTCTGGTGCCTCCAACATGAGAAGGACCTGGAACTGTTGGAGCAAGTCCAGAGGAGGTCATGGAGCTGATAAGAGGACTGAGGCACCTTCTGTATGAGAGTTGAGGTTGTTCAGCCTGCAGAAGGGGAAGTTGTGTGGAGGTCTCAGAGCAACCTGCAGCATCTGAAGGGGCTACATGGAAGCTGCAGAGGGACTTTGTTAGGAACTGGAGTGACAGGACAAGGAGTAATGGGAATATTTCAAAGAAGTTTTCCCTGTGAGGGTGGTGAGACACTGGCACAGGTTGCCCAGGGAGGCTGTGACTGCCCCAGCCCTGGCAGTGTTCAAATCCAGGTTGGCTGAAGCCTTGAGCAACCTGCTCTGGTGGGAGGTGTCCCTGCCCAGGGCAGGGAGTTGGGGCTGGATGATCTCTAAGCTCCATTCCAACCTCTTAACGTACTGTGACACTATGAAATCCATGGGGATGCTCAGTGTCTCCAAACAGAAGTCATGGCCTTGAAGTGCCTCTCCAGCCAAAAGTCATGGGATCACAGGACTGGCATCCTGATGGGAGGAGAACCTGACAGGGAAGGAGATCAGCGTTCCATGGGGCTGAGGAACGGCACAGCTATGACAAGGAAATGCTTCCAAGCTGCGCCAGGAGCCGGGAATGGGATCCTCGCGCCGTGGCCACCGCGCGGCACTGTTGGAGCGCTGAACAGGCAGCGATGCTGCTCGGATCGCACAGCTCCAGCCTCTGCGGCTCCGCGAGAGGGGATGGAGCCTGGGAGGGGCTCACCGGGGCAGCCCTAAAGGGAAAATCCTCCTGGAGAGGCGTAAATCACATCAGCACACGGAGAAAGCAAAATCCCATCTGCAGGAAGGATTCTGCCAGCAAACAGTGTGCCAGGAAAGCAGCTCTGGCAGGGATTTTAACTTCACACCTGGCCTAACTAGGAGAAAAACTACCATTTCTATCCCCTACTTGTGCTTCGGTTTTAGTTTCGATTAGGTCACACACACCTGGGGGGCAGGAGGCCACCAAGAACACTTGTGAGCTCAAAGAGGTTTCTCTTCCACTCTAGGAGAGCCCTGAGATGTCAACATTTCACAATCACATCACCATGCCCAGTTTTCACCTTGAACATCGTGGTGAACAGATCTCCTCCTGCCTGAAACAGGTCCCAGGACAATGGGAGTCAGGAGCACTGCACTGATGTGAAGATGTGTGAAGGGAAGATGAGAGTCTCACCTCTACTTTCATTCCTGCCTGGAAGCTGATGCCATCAGGAATGGTGGTCTGGAAGTCAGCAATGGTGTAATACTCCTCTTCCACTTGAGGAGGGACAGGAGGTTTAGGCAGATTCAGACCACGTGGCTGTGACAAGGAAAAAGATAACCCATCAGTGTATTTCTACAGCAGGTGTGCCACAGCATCCCCACAGGATGCAGGAGACACTTGTCAGCATGGCCAGGGACAGGGACAACATCCCAGGAGCTCCTTTCAGTGCTCCTCTCCCACTGCATTTGCCATTGCTGATCTCCTCCATCAGCTGGCACTTACTATGGTGAGGTCTCGGCGAGGAGGTGGTCTCTGCCTCATCTTTGGTGACTCTGTGGAGGAAGAATTGCAGATACTGTTGAGTTTCTTCTGGCTTTTGGTCACACGTGTTCACAAAAGATGTCTGTCTTCCCAAGTCACTGTTACACGTGATGGGGCACTGCTGTCCTGGTGGTGCTGAACACCTCCTGCCCATGGGGAAGGGCTGAGGGTATTGGCCTTGGTTAGCCTAGAGAAGAAGCTCAGGGGTGACTTCATGGCTCTCTGCAACTCCCTGACAGGGTTGGAGAGAGGTGGGGGATGTCTTTCCTGTCATGGCTGCAGGGAGAGGACTGGAGGGAATGGCCTTGAGCTGAGCCAGGGCAGAGTCAGATTGGATGTCAGGAGAAATGTTTTCCCTGTGAGGGTGTTCAGGCACTGGGATATTGCCCAGGGAGGTGGTGGAGTCACCATCCCTGGAGGTATTTAAGAGGCATCTGGATTTGCTGCTGGAGGATATTGTTTAGGGGTTGCAGCAGTGACAGGTTAACGGTTGGACTGGATGATCTTAGAGGTTTCCTCCAACCTTGATGATTCTAATTCCTTGGTTTGCTTTGCTTGTGTGTGTGGTTTCTCCTTTCCCTATGAATTGTCTTTACCTAAACCCATGACTTTCCCGCGTTTCACCCTTCCCATTCTCTCCCCCAACACTGGTGGGCAGTGAGTGAGCAGCTGAGTGAGGCTTGGTGGCTGCTTGGGGTTAAACCACAACACTCCCTCAAAAGCTGCAGGGAAGGTTGGGCTAGAAATGTCACCCACCTCCTCCTGCCCAGCACTTACTGCGTCGGCTGTCAGCACCGGGCAGGGCCCGGGGGTCGAACCTGCTGTCCCTTGGGCCACCAAGCCCGTCCTTGTCCCTGCTGGCCACAGGCTGCTGCCGGGACAGGCCATCCAGATCCAAGGCACAGGAGTGAGCAGAGGAGCCTGACCCCAGCTTCTGGGAGAACATGTCTCCATTGCCCTTCCTCAGGTAGGAGGCAGGGGCCCAGCCCTCCTGGCCCTGGTACCTGTGGGGGCAACAACAGCAATGTCACTACACAGAGTTCCTGTGCTGCACCAGGGCATGAGCTCTTCCTTGAGGTCCAATGGTGTGGACCCATCAGACATCCCTGGAGCCACAGCTCAGGACACACTTTGACTGAAGGTACTATTCACCAGGTGCTCTGTAGCACGTGGAGAGCTCCCACACAAGGTGGCCACAACCAGAGGGACAATGGCTGGGAATGGTGTGAAGCTCCACTTTGTTTTTGCCTCAGCAGTGGCACTGGTTCAGGAATGAAACAGAAGGAAAAACCTTCTGCTGCTGGGATTGATGTACCTGGCAGCCTGGATCCCTTCCCTGCTCTGAATGTGTTTAGGAGGGAAAGTAGCCCCATGATCTGATGGAGAAACCACATCCAGTCTCCCTGCCATGCCAGGGACTCCTGTGCCAGCAGCAGAGCCTCTCCTCACTGGCAGCCACTACTCTGAGATGGCACCACTACTGAGCTTGTAATGGCCTTTAGAGCTCTTGTGGCAGCTCTCCTCTGCTTCAGAAGTCAATGGATGTGTTTCTGGGGCTTTGTTGCTGCCAAGACCACAGGTTCAGGGTAAGGTTAAGAAAACTGCACTGTGTGCTTCCATCCTGATCAAGTTTGGCCAATTGCTGGGCCACAAACTGCTTCCAGCAGAAAACAACTATCAGCTCAGGATGATCTGGAGCCTTTGGCTCAGCACACCTTGCACACAGCAGATCCGGCCCAGACAATGGCCCTTCTCTGCAGGAGTCTCCTAACAGAGCCAGAGGATCCAGCCTGAGACACTCACTGGTTTTCCCATCAGCAACACATGACCTAATACTAATGCTCCCACACCAGCTCCCTCTGCACTGCTGGGGCATGTGATGCTGTGACACAATCCACCTCTCAACCCAGGAAATTGGTGGGTTTTAAAGCTTTTTAACAAAATCTATGCTTGGATGTCAACTGGTCCTTGTAAGGATGGAGAAAAATGAGTTCTGGTACTCTGCCCTCCCCAACACCCCAGACTTGCCCTTGGACTGTACATCCCACATGCTTTGGGTCACTGCTTTGCACAGTCCCAGCTGCAGTGCCAAGGAAGAGCAAGAGGTAAGCACAATACCTGATTTTCCACCAGCCCTCCAGGTTCTTCTGGATCACCACCACCACAGCCCCTTTGTCCAGGTTCATCTCATCTTGGTCTCTTGCAGTGTAGGGGTAAATCACGGTGTACTTCTCCTCTGGGGACAAGAAAGTGCAGTTCCATGGAGATAATATTTGATGGTAACTTGGACTCAGGTGAAAATGGTTAAGTGCTTTCTATAAATGATAATTCTTGGAACATAGGTGCAAACAGGCAGAGATACACAACCATTCAGGAGAGCAATGACAGTGAAATATATTCCAAACCAAACCCAGATGCATTTGGAAGTGGAAACTCTGGTGAGCTACTCCAGCCCAAGGAGAAGTTGTCTGAACCAGTTCCTCCTCTCCCTTAGGACTATGTCTTCTATATGACAGTCCTCCTTTCACCTGCTCATCACGGAAGCTCTTCCATGCATCCATTTCACTTCAGATTTCTTTCTCAGAGCCTTTAAAGAAGATCTGTCCTCTATAGGGGGAGAGAAACCCCATGGACATGAGGGAGCAACCCCAGACAACTCTCAAACCACTCTACAGCAGCAGGTCTACAGGAACTTCCCTGTTCAACAGCTGTGTCCCCCAGGACATTGGTCAAAGCTGTGTGGGGAGCCTGGCGAAGACTCTGATGTCCTGTCCACAAAGGATATTAAGCAGAGATGTGGATGTTCCTTCAGGAGGAAGGGGAAACATCCTAACAGCTACATGGACAACATGTCAGAGAAACAGGTCCATCTCCCTCACCTTGGCCTGTCCTCTCTGGAAGAAACACAGGAGAATAATTGCCTGTACTTAGGTAGAGAAGGTCATCTGGGGAAAAATCTGCCTCCCAAATCCACACCTGTGGGCATTCATATATCCCCACCATGCAGGTTTCCTGGCTTTGTCTCCTGGGGGGACCACAGCTCTGGAAGGGCCTGATTTCCCACCACATTCATGCAGATGAGTCAAAGCAGAGAATGTCCTGTCACATCCAGCAAGGCCAAGCTGGGTCTTCTCCTCCTGACCCCACCTGAGGCACCAATCCCAGGCCATGGCTCACAGTTACTCTTACAGGAGCTAAGGCAGCAGTTGGAAGAATTCTGCACACATGTGTTGGGGAAAAGCAGAAACTCCTGTCTCTGAACCCAAAACAAGCCTCAAAATGTGAGCAGGAGCAGCTGATGGAGCAAAGTGATGTGGATGTGAGTGAACTTGATGGAAGGCTGAGGAGCAGGTATGGCTGAGGACACACACTGAGGGCTGACACAAGCAGAGCTCACTACATGCAAAGCAAACCAACATGCACACAAAGCTCCAAGCACAAAAATATGGGTGAGTCTCTGTGAAGTCCACCTTGACCCCATCCACTGGTGTACAAGTCCCCAAGAGTCCGACGGCGGCCAACGTGCCTGGGCAGGGACCAGTATCTCCATGGGACTGGGAGAAGCATGTTGGGGAAGCAGGAGAAGGACAAGAGAGGATGTGAGGAGGCAGAACTTCAGGTCCAAGAAGACACAGGGTTGACACCAGAGTGGAACAGAGACTGTTCTCACCTGGAGCTCTCTGAGGGCTCTCCCTGAACCTCCCTCCCACCTCCACCTGCCCAGATGAGGGGTTGAACCAGCTACTGCACTGCTCTGAGCACACAGTGGGCACTAGGAAGGATGTGTTCTCCACGGATGTTTTAGATCTCTTCTAAGCAAAGGCTGCAACCTTGTTATTCCATGAGTTCACACGTGCTCTTTGTTCTGCATGTGTTGAAGACACATGAATTGTCCAAGGACCTGTGCTTTACTCCTCCTCCAGTGCAGGTAAGATAGCTCTCTGGAGCCTAAAGGAGGCTCTGGGATGATAGGAGTGAGCATTCCCTGGAGGTAGCACCTTCAGCCCCTCTGTGGAGGAACAGAGAGCCCAACAGACACACCAGCAGTATCCAGCTGCAGCACTGGTGCAGAGCACTGGGCGGGCAGGACCATTCCAGGCAGCATGTGTAGGTTTGTCCTTCCCTGGGCTCATGTCCTGCCCATTTCAGGGAGGGTGATGCAGTGCTGCCAGCAGTTCTGTGCAGTTCAGCTGGAGGAAGCTAGGACAGGGGATGTTTAGGTTGGATATTAGGAAGAGATTTTTTACAGAGAGAGTGCTCAGGCATTGGAATGCGCTGCCCAGGGAGGTGGTGGATTCACCATCCCTGGAGGTTTTTAAGACGAGACTGGATGTGGCACTTAGTGCCATGGTCTAGTAACCACGGTAGGGTTGGACTTGATGATCTTGGAGGTCTCTTCCAACCTGGTTGATTCTATGATTCTATAATTCTATGACAGGTATCTCCAGAAACTTCTTACCTTCATCAGGCTGCATGGAGAACTCATCCTGGACACCATCCTGAGCCTCCAGGCAGGTCGCTGGTACCCAACCTTGCTCCTCCAACGTGCTCACAAACCACCAGCCTGAGAAGAAAACAGCAGGTAGCTCAGCCAAGGACTCACCCCAGCCAAAAACTCCTTCTCTCCCTCCAAACCACAAGTCTTGGGGGCTGTGACCTCTCTACATGGGAAGCTGGGGTGACCCCAAAGCATCATAGCCAAGCCCAGACAGCAGCATGGGAGAACTGCAGCTGAATGGCATCTCAATGGACAATTCCTTCCCCAGGAAAACCAGGAGAGGCTCTGAGAGCTGAACGGGTCCAGCTATTGCATTGCTTTACTTTTCTCCCCCCTTCACGGCTCATTTTCCCTCCGTGGGGGTCAGTAAGCCCAGACTAATTAGCAGAGCTGAATGCCCAGGCAGTGAATCGATAGGTGACTCCTGCTGTGCTCTCCTTCTCTACAGTTCTGGAAACAGCAGCACTGAAAAGCTACCAGCAAAAGAAGGATTAAAACAGCTCTCCCAGAGGAAACCCAGCCAGCTCCACAGTGGCTACAAGCAATTCTGGCCCCCCCCGAGTGTCCAATCAAAATAAACATGGTGTTTAATGGCTATTAAAAGCACAAGCTATTGGTGTCTTCAGGGGGAAATATTAGATGCTGAGCATTATCCTCAGATCCTCAGCAGTGAGTTATTTAGGAAGACAACTAGATTGTCAGGGAGGGAATCAGCTACCAGGAAAACCACGGCTGACCTTTGATAAATGATTTTCCATAGCTTTTGAACTGGCTGTGCTAATAGATTTCACTTGCTTCAGGGTTGCTTTGATTTTTGTCATTCTCCAACAGAGCTGCTAGTGCAACTGATCCTCTGGGGAGTGACTTGCCAGAGGTTGAAAATCTATTTTCATGATTTAACTCCTCTCTGGCCCATGCAACTCCTGTAAACTTCAGGGAATAAATACCCCTTTCCACCCAACTCCTGAAGTTGGGCCCATGACATGACTTGACCCCTTTGCAGAGGTTAAGAGCAAGTTGAAGTGTTGAAGCGAGCAAATAGGTCAGAGCCTGCTGTGCTCCATGTTTGGGGCTTCCTTGTGTTTGGAGGCAGGAGTTGGGAATGCACAACGGGGGCTTTCATGGGCACCATGGGAGTTTTCCCCTCTGACAAGAAAACAAGCCTGCCAAGTCCAGGAATGGCTTTTGTCCTCAGGACCCACCAGCCAAGCACGAAGAAGCATAAAGTAGAGACTGCAGAAGATGCTCAGCACATGGGTTGATCAGATCCTTCCCTCAGAGACAGCCCTGAAGTCTTGTCCTGACTCATACAGACTAACTCTGCTACATGTCCCACCTCAGCTGGCCATCCAAGGATATGCTCCTTGGAGACTGTTTTGCTTAATCATAGAATCATAGACTCATCAAATGAAATCATCAAATCTAACCATGAAAGGTCCTATTAGAAGACACTGACAATCCAGGATTGCTGTTCCTGCCCCAAATCCCTTTGCCAAGCCAAACTCTCTGTACCTGATTCGTTCTTCTCAATGATATCCACCAACTGGCCCACGCACAAGCTGATCTCGGAGCTCTCCTGCTTCTGGTAGTCAGCCACCACGACATACTGCTCCAGCACCAAGGGGTCGACCGAGGCAGAGTCAGCTCCTGCACAGGGGGGACAAGAACTGACCCAAGTGCCAGGGTCAGCACAGGCCACCACTCCCTGCTGGCCTGAGAGCAGCTCCAGGACACCCCAGTGCGAGAGATGTGAGCCAGAGACTTGGGCAGAATGAGGAGGAGAGAGATCAGACCAGCAGCCAGGTGAGGTGGGTACAGCCAGGTGAGACCCTTTGCTTGCTACCCACCTTCCTGCTCACCAACAGAACCATCCAAGCAACATCACCACCACCACCAATGCAAACAGCAGCCTAATCCTTGCTGTTGGAGACTGAGGGGGCTTGAGGGACCTTCCTGAGCATCAGTTGTCCCAAGGCACAGACCAGCCCTGACCCCAGCTCCAAACACACAACCTGCAGTGGGTTTGGACCATGACCTCAACTCAAAACACACAACCTGCAGTGGGTTTGCACCACCTCTGACTCAACTCAAAACACACAACCTGCGGTGGGTTTGGACCATGACCCAACTCAAAACACACAACCTGCAGTGGATTTTGCTGAGCCCAAACACCCAGGTGGAATGTGTTTGTAGGCAGAGAATCATCCCATGTCCTCAACACTCTGGTGTATTGGCATCACGGCTTGCTCTGCTCTCTGCACAGCTTCTCCTGCTGCAGATCCCAATCCCAGGGCACAAATGGGGAAAAATATCCCAAAGAGGAGCAAAAGAACAAGGACACAGCAGGAACAAAGCTTTCCTGTGGTCGGAATGAGGTCGGCACTGGAGGAGAGCCAGGAGCGACCGGATCGCCGGGAGCAGAGCTGGCGGCAGATGGCACTGCGGGACAAGGACGGGACACTGCGGGATAACCGGGACACCGGGAACACTGCGGGACATGCAGGACACTGGGAGCAGCATCCAGGCTGGTTTGTGCTTTGCCAGCACGTTTTCCTTTAGCAGAGAGCCCTGGATATGGATCCTCCTTGGCCTGGCAGCACTGCAGCAAAGCTTCCCACTGGATCTGCCTCTGCTTCAGAAACACAGCCCTGAGTTTGTCCCCACACACCAAGCAGTTCCCTTTCCCCATGTGTATTCAAGGCTGGATGTGTCCTGGGCACCCATGGAGTGCTCAGGGCTTGGCAGGATGAGACATTGCTGGTGCTCAGAGCCCATGGACAATCCCTTGGGCACAGCTGCCCACTGAACTGGCACTGGGGTACCCAGAGCATCAGAGCAGTTGTCCCATCTGCCTCCAAAAGCCTCCAAGAAGGTGTCAGAAAGTCCTGGCCAAGACTCCTCTCCAAGCCCTGATTTTGGCCTCCAAGCCCGCACTCTGCCTTGCAGCTTCCCAACCTGTCAGAGGAACACACTGCTGTATCATCCTCTTCTCCCCTGGGGCAGGGAGATTTAATTATTGCTTGCCAAGGACTTTGGAAATAGCAGAGTATTAATTACTACAGCACAAGTGATCCAAAAGAATCTCACACCTGATTGCAGGTGTTAAGCTGAATTTACAGGGTCTGTGCACTACTCTGAGTCTCAGGTTCTGGGTTGGGGCAGAAATCACATCTGGCCCAGCCTCTACCTGTTACAGCACAGCAAATATACAGGACAATCACCTCTCAGGCTCCAAGGGGGGGTGAAATTCCACAGAGAGAGGTGATTCCTTGGGACAGTTAGGTGAAATGCCGCAAAGAATTCAGCCCATGCTATCAGGCCCAAGTTTCCATGGCAAGTGCACCAGCACCATGGGCTGCCTCATCATGAGAGGTCTCAGCCTGACCAAAGATCTTTCCCATGGGGGAACATATTGCAGGGCATAGGTTCTTCCATAGGAAACCTAAGGCAATGCCATACTCATCCCAAAAGGCTATGAGGAGAGGTGTATAAGATCTAGCAGGTCTTCAGCAAACCTAGGATGCTCTGCAGCCTCACAGAGACATCCTGTGCACCAGGTCACAACTTCTCCAACTGGTTCTGAGAAATCATGGCCACAACCAAGCCTTAAACTAACAATGTCTCTCCAGGCCAGTGGTATTTAAAGGCAGAAGAGGCAAATTGCCTGTGTTAAGCTGCTATAAACAGCACTCTGCAGAGCTCCAGGTGAGCTGGCCAAGTGCAGAGGATCTGGCACTGCTAATGAAAGCTTCCACCACACCAAACCCCACAGGTGGGGCACCAGACAACTAAAAACAGCCTCCTAAAGTAAATGGTGGACACTAGGACTATGTGTTCTACCAGCTCTATTAAAGGTTTGTACTTAAAGTGATCTGAGGATCTACCCAACCCCTGAGAGTAGAGTAACAGCTACAGGAAGAGGTAAGTACTCTCTGCCTCCCTTGCTGTAATTACATTGCTCTGAGGCTATTTGTAGTTCCAGCAGCCAATTCTGGAGCCTCCAAAGGAGCTATTAAAGCAGCTAGAGAAGTGGTAAACTGAGCTTGGAGGAAGGAGTAGGAGTTAATTTCAGAAGCATCTTCACCTGGTATAATCATCCTCAACCACAGAAATACACACTAAAGGTTAAAAAAAACATCCTGGGTAGGAGCAGACTTGGGTTTCTCAAAAACAGCAAGAAAGTTTCCCAGCTAAGATAGGAGACAGCGCTGAAACTCTGCAGCTGGGGAGGAGGAATTAGGCCAGTCCAGAGCTCACAGGAGAGTGAGTTTTGCAGGCAGTTTAGGCAGGAGCACAGACTGTGCAATCCTGAACACTCCCAACCTGTGGGACTGACATAGATGTGACCTAGAGAAGAGGTTTGCATCAAGTCAAGAGGTGCCCTGGAATGGGCTTGCTGAACTGATGCTCACCCTGGATGCAGGAAAGCCACCTGGGAGATGTTCAGCACAGCCCAGAACCAACACAAGACAAAAAGCATAGAAATCCTCAGAACAACCTTGAGGACTGATGTGATCACTACTTTGAGACATACCTAAATCAGTGGCCAAGTCAGTCTGCAGAGTCCCAGAGCCTGGGGAATAATCTACCCCTCTGCAAGATGCAGGGATGGAGCCCAGGCCTTTCAATGACAAAAGCCTAAGCACATATACCAGAGTCTCCTTGAACCAGCAAATATCTCCTGAGTGTCTTGGCCACCCCAGGAGGCTGAGGGCAGGCAGCACTTTAACCCACTTCCCATCTCACTGTTTGCTTAAGTCCCATTTCCACACAGGGCTTGCTGCTGCCAGGAGCTTGGAGCTTTTTCCAACACTCTCCTCAAGAGCAGTTCACCTCCTTTCTGGCACTGCTGGGAGAAATCAGCAGCTGGAGAAGTGTTTATTGGGAAATTCTCATGACTTTTGTTTGGTAGCAGCTGTTGGATGACCTCTCCTCACAGAGATCCTGGATTGAAGGAGGCTTTTTGTGCCTTGCTGCATGTTTGAGACCTCAAAGCAGCCCTGGCTGGAGAAACTGATGTACCATCAGGGGCTTCTCAAGGTGTATAAGGAGTTGGGGTGGTAGCAGCAGAAGAAAACTGTTTCTGCTACCAGAAAAGGCAAGACAGTGAGAAGAGTTTCTGAACATGTCTAGCATGAGGCACCAACTCTTCGTAATCCCTGTGGGGTCTGGCTTGGATGTCATCCAAGCTCTTCCCATTCCCTCCTTCTCAATGGTGTCCAGCCACCAGCATCCCAAAGAGCATTTTCTATTTGACCTCAGCAACATCCCTGTGTCCCTCACAAACTCACCATGCCAATGGGATGCAGAGGGAAACTGTCCCTGCAGTGGGAAGGCAGGATGAAGCTGTGTACACAAAGAGGAGAAAAGCTCCTGCTTCTCCAACAATTCAGGGTCCTTCAATTGAGTTCCGCCCTCAAAGAACTGAGTTCTGCAGCAGAAATTGTATTCCTCTTCTCAACTCCTCTCTTGCCTAATGTAAGTGAGCAGGAGGCAAAGTGATCTAAGCACACACTGAGC